TATTCTCGGAAAAGTGGTTGCAGGAGGTGAGCTGTTACTCCACAGGGTTGTGAAAGAAGCTGAGTAATAATGAGCAAGATAATGATATTTAAAAACTGAAGAGCACAATGAAATACATAAAAGGCTGCAAAAGTAGTGCAAAACATCTGGTGGAATATCTCACAACTGCTCACGTTAATCAGTAACACTGCCTGCTGTAAAGCGAGGATTCCCAGAGAGCATGAGCAAAGTAGCTGAACATTTAAAGAAAAAAATAAAGTCGCAAAGAGTCTGGGTTAAAAATTATCCCTGAAACATGCACTGGATCTGGGTGAATGTATGTGACCTTTTACCCCTCGAGGGCACGCCGTCTCAAACACAAACAAAACCAGCATCGCTGTGTTTATAGGGGCGAGTTAAAACTCCATGGAAAGAAAAAAAAAAACATATAGATAATAAAGAAGATCCAGAACCATGCTGCAGTGCTCTCTGAACTCTGAGACAGGTCGAAAAACTCAAAATCAGAGAAACCTCATCCCTAAAGAGGAGATGGACTGTCGCCCACAAACACAGTATGTTACACGCTTTGTTCCAGCCTTGCGCTTGGATAAGTTCAGCAGTAATTCAGCTCTATACAAAGAGTCCTCTCACCCTTTGAAATATCCGGCTTGTTGTGAAAAAGTTGACAATAGTTTCCAAAATTGTACATCACGAAAAAAATAGAAAACATTAAACAACTGTTCGACATTGACATGACAACATTTATGTCATCAGTTTCCAGGACATCAGTGAAGGCTGTCTTTGCTTCAAGGAAAGCATCCAACGTCTGCTTGTTGACTTGAGGACTCACCGGCACGTCTTCAGCGACTTTCCCCCACTGAAAACGCTCCGTCCGCATGAACATAATCAATGTTTTAGAACATTTGACCTGTTTTATACTTCAATTTCTTCAATTTTATATATCCGGAGGTTAATTTGGAGCATACTTTGATCTTGCTCTCTCTGCTTCTTAGCGCCTAATTATTCACGTTCAAAGGTTAAAGGTGAAAAATGAGAAAGCTAAAC